AGGCTTGAATAAAAAGTTGAAACAAACTCTCAGTTTTTCACGGATCAATACTGTTTTTCCCAGACTGCTGTGATTATATTGCTTAGATTACAATAGCTTATCTAAAACATTGGTGTCAGTTTTGCTAGTCTTAAATGTTCATGTGTCATTTTGCTTCTGATGCTTTAGATGCCTAAAATACAAGAATTTTGAGATGACTGAAAGAGGAGAAATAGAAGTAAAAGGCAAAGGGAAAATGCACACATATTTCCTCATTAGAAATAAAACTGCAACTGAGAATGAGATTATGGGAAGGCCAATCAAAGACTTAGATTCTGGCCACGAATCTGCTCAGTCCATTCAAGAAGGCAGGATGGAAACAACACCAGGTAAAGTCAACTTGACATAGCTTTCCCTTCTTGAACAAGTGAATGTTAATACAACTCAGTTAAGTATCTTCTTCTGTTCTTTTCAGCTACTCAGACTCAGCCAGAGAAGGACCAGACTCCAGCCATTGCAATGAAATATACTGATGGCCCCACAGATGAACAGAACAGCCTCAAAAGTAGAAATCAAGCAAGAATTGCAGATTTAACAGGTAGTTATTTAGTTACCATCCAACAAAGACAATAGAGCTAGGAAGTAACTGAGGCTTAATCTTGCAGCATCTTTATATTCCTGTTCTGAATAACCATTGTTTTACTCAAGCCAGAAATTCATGCCAACATGTCATGCTGGTGAAACTAACCATTCTGCACACTGTTTAGGGCCAAACAAATAACACCTTCAGGTGTTAATTGTGCACTAGGGAGAAAGAAGCTGACATAGCTGTCAAACCCCAGAGTCCTTCTGGCAGTGCACAGCAGAATGGCGAAACGTTAGACTGCTCTTCCCATGAGCAGCCCCATTTGTTCACATACATGGGTTGTGTTTTTTTTTCTTAGAAAAGCTGTCATTATTTGTAGTTATGGGAAAGCCCTTATTGACTCCAGCCTGAGAAAGAGAGACATCACTGGCTATGCACCTGGCTGTCCTCAAGCCCGTTTCCTGCAGGAGTCAGATGGATTTATTGTCATGCCCAAAGTTCATTCTCTTTTGAAGTAGCTGATACTTAATTTGATCAAATTGCATGCCAATAGTCTAATCTAGTGCATTTGATTTACATTGTACAATTTGATATGCATTTGATGCCATAATAGTCTAATCTAATGCAACTCTACTGATGTATTTTGTGCATTTTATACAGACGAGATATGTTGTTGCTGATTACTAGGAAATGTTTTACTCCTTTTCCTCCCACGTGCTTAGATGTGGTGGTTAATCCAGTATATGGTGCTGACAAACACAAACCTACAGTCATTAAAAACTCACGCTGAAGGAGTATTTCCTTTTAGGCAAAACTTACGATTCCAAAAGTGATGGGAGTCTCCATGGCAACCAGCATGCAGATGATGGTTCTTGTCCTCCAAACCAGGGAAGAGTCAAACCTGCTACTGAAGAGCCACGGAATAGACACATTCGTTCTAATTTTTGCACTTTACTCTAAGTTTCTTACTTTTTACATTAAAACAAAGCAACTTTATTATGATTTTGTGCAGTTTGCTGTTGCGCTGATTTGTATATCAGCAACCACGTGATTAAAAAAAAAAAACCCACAACACAAAACCAAACAAAAAGAAAAAAGACATCACAGTTTTCAGCAAAAAGAAAACAATGGAGGATTATTTTTTTTTTTTACTCAATCTATATGTGCCATATAATACTCCCAATGGAGAAGGAAACCACCAAAAGATGCTTTGAAGAGGTATTTTTCAGCCTCTGCCATGTCTTTGAATATCCCTATGTAAAAATAACTTGTTATCTGATGCAGCAACTGAGAGGTGACTCATCCTGCTAGAAATATTCCTACTCAAACGAGCACTTTCCATAGAAGAAATATTCCCTGAAGTGACCATCTGTCTTGACTTGACACAGCCAACAACTTCCCTGTGTAAGGTTAGCAGAATTTGATCTACATTCTCACTGTGATGACAGATTAATCTATTAGCAGGTCTTTTGTTGGGTAAAGGCAATGTGCAGTAGACATGCAGAATAGATCTACTACAACCCGTATCTTTCCTTCCTGAAGAGAAAATATTGTGCACGTTATAGCACCCAACAGCAAAACAAGATGCCGTGCTTAGATAATTGTAGAAGGATATGCACATAATGGAGTTACGTAGCACTGAATTCATCACAAGACTGAAGGACTGTTCAAGGCCTATGGACTACTTGAGACCTTCAAATAAGTTGCAAGGTAATTTCTCAGCTAAATGAAACTGAAGTTTCAGGTCTTCAGAGGAAGCCTGTCAGTGCTAGAATTAATGTCATCAGTGTCATGGAAAATGACAGCATGAAAGATCAACATCACTTACCTTGTGTCAGAGGCTCCTCAGCTGAACTAATTCCATGCTGATACATCCTTAGGTTATGCCTGAGAAAAACTGAAGTTCAGCTGTCAGCGATTTAAGATACAGGAGCAAAACTACAATGGATATAAAGGTTGTGGGCAATTTTGCCACACATAAATTATGCTATCACTCTAAATAAATGGAGTTTGGAGTATGTGGAATGTGGTGTGATTTGGACAGAAGATGTGCTCCACGTAACAATACCCACTTTGGATGTGGATTAGTTGTCTAAGGATGCACACCATTTGAACTTTAAGCAAGAACTCACTGGAGAAGATGATAATATTACTCCTCTATTACAGTCTGGAGCATCACATTTCCACCTCTGTGTGTGCAGTAAGAGTGAATCTCCTTAAACACCAGGCAGAGAGGTAAGACTGCTGAAAAGCATTTCCTCTCTATAGTACAACAAGATAAAATTTCACCTGGTTAGATTTTATTTTTAAATCTGTGAGACAGCAGCTCCCCTGTCTGTGTGCTCTACAGCTCTGTCTACATTAGCAAGTAGCTCAGACCAGCAGAGGAGGATGTGTCAAGCGAACAACAGTGTTGTTTTCCACACTATAGGTATTTCAGAGGGCTTGCTACTGTGCTCCCATGCACTAAATACCCGTTACCTTATAACCACATTCTCTGACTTAGTTTCAACGGTAAGAAATCCATTCGGGTGATTTGAGACCACTCTACAATATGAAACAAAGCACAGTGAGTGGGTTTGACCAGCAAATTCCCTCAGGAGAGTACTCCTGATTCTGGCTGAAATGCTGATGTGGATACACCCTTTAACATTAGCACTTTCCATGGTACCATCTGATGAGCATCACCGTTCTGGGAGAATGCAGTTTTACAAATGGCAGGATTGCTTTATTTATTTATTTATGAGGATTTTTCTATCTAGGCACTGTTCATTGTTTTGGCAAGGGTGAGATCTACTGTAGGTTGAAGATGCATCTCAGGGTTATTAAGGTTGAGTATCAAGATTTCAAACATTTAACTGTGTACTACCCTCAGACACACAGCATCTAAGTTTCACCATCTTTATAGGCATCTGCTACAGAGATATAAAGCCACTTAGGCCCAAGCACAAGTGTGACACAGGAGTGTACATCTCTCAGTGGCCACTGCTAATGCAGGAGGGAATCTCTTGCTCTCTCAGCTGCTCTTGCAGTCCCATACCTGCATGGCTGAATACCACTGACCACCTCTCCTAAAGGAAGAATTTCCAATTGGAAATTGTTCAACAAGACTGGCCGTCAATGATTAGGGTCTAGTATATATTCCAGGCTTAATATAGATATATTCCAGTGTGGTTTTATGTAGAAGTGCAGAGCTCCTCTGAATTTGTATGGATCCTCTAGGGAAGAAGAAAAAGACCATGGCTTAATTGTTGCCTGCATTTCTCGTCCAAATTTTAACATCTGCTTTGCTTATACCTGCTCTTTCTGCACTGAACAATCTATGAATGTTTTATATTGGAATGTTTTAAAAGGCATTAAGTGCTCCATGGTAAGTGACTTCATGCTGTACTGTGGTAAAACCGATGTGCTCAGTGGTTTCTCTGTGACCTCTGCTACAAACTGGTTCTTCTGGAGGTGCAGAGCTAGGTCAAATCTGCACAGCTGCTTTTAAAAATTAATATACCTGTGCATCATCTTGTCTTCTTAAATCTGTGGGCACTGCTAAAGACTGCAAAAAAATCATTAAACAATAAATCTTTCCATTAATATGCTGACTGACATTTGTCTATGACTACTTTGATTTCTTTCCCTCTTTTTCCTTCCAATTTTTCTGTTTTTTTCCCTATAAGTATACAAAAGTTCAAGACCATTATACCTCTAATGCATGTCGAGTGAGCTTAATTTCTTGACCATACACAGTTACATGTATCTGTGTGACACCAGAATCAGCAGCCCACCACAACTGACATTGTCATAAGCTTACCAATACGTAATCTTACTGTCAGTGATCTATCTATATAGAATTGATACAAAATGGGTGGAAGAAGAGAATTCCCACTGCTGCTTCATGGAACTGAGGCTTAGAAAAGTTAAAAGTTGAGACTTCTGAAAGCTGTCTAAAGCATATGGATTCCCAGATCCTGTTAAATTTGGTGTTCAAACATGAATATTCAAGAACCCAGGTATTTTAAATGTATAGTGGCCAGATTTTCAAAGACGTTTATAGTTACTTTGCTAAATGAAATCATCTGAATTTAAGTGCTTAACTGAACACACATCCAATGTCTAGCTTCTGACAATGAAGCTTTCTTTAAAACATCTAAGCAGTTGCTTCTTGTAAATGCCTTTTAAAATGAGCTGTTCAGTAATGAGCTGTTAGTAAGTTTTGCTGAACAAATGGTGACCTCCTTTGGTAGCAGTCTGACTCATTACTTTTGACATTACAATGCATCCCTGTGTGGACCCAAGCTGAACATAAAAATCCACAAATAAAATATCAGTGAGATTGAAATTATTACTTCAGTGGTGAGAATATATTGAATTTATACCTGAATATATAAAACATGGTGAATTGCAAAAGGAAATAAACATCACAGAGTTGTATACAATATTGAATTTATACCTGAATATATAAAACATGGTGAATTGCAAAAGGAAATAAACATCACAGAGTTGTATACAAGTATGCAACATCATGGAAAATCCAGAAGGGACTTTTTACCACCAGGTCTCTGCTTTCACTTTTGAAAGTTTGAGTTAAAGTAGTTAATGAGGTGAAAGTCATCCTTAAAGTTACTGGTGCCAACATCCACTGTTCATGCATCCTCTGTACAATATTTAATCATCATGCTGTCTGTGCATTAAGAAACAGCAACGTGCAGTATTTTGATTCCATAAATACTAGTGATAAAAATAAACATGTGGGACACCGTTTTTACCCATATGAACAGAACTAAAAAGAAATCCTCATTTTTTACAAGCTGTTTGTCGTCCTCTCTCACATTTACCTTGCACCTATTTACTGATTTCCTGCTAATGATTTTAGATCCAAGCTGTGCTGAGGGAATCCATTCCTGAAAAATTCTGACATTCACAGTTCTCCACATTTTGACTTCATGTTCAAACATGAGCCTTTAGTGTCTGTCTGGATGAACACACCAGAAACAGATTTATAGTCGTCTTTTTATACTGATCAGTACTTACTCTCCCCTGCACTCCCTTAGAGGTGAAACCTAAAATGGACATAAACAGTCATTGCCAAGCTTTGCAGAAATTCAGAGTAACATTAACTGACTCTCAAATGTCTTCTTTGCTGCGTTAGTACTGTGAAATTTTATGTAGATAGAAAACCTCACAGGCTCTTTAATAGCTCTTAGTCATTTGCATCAGAATACCTTTCTAGCAAGGGAATCAGCAAACACATGTGGCAACATTTTTTCCACTTTTTGTGACAAATACATGAAAACCAGCTTCAACACACTAGTTACAGCAGTCCTAAGGTAAAGGATCCTCGATACATGTTGTGAAGCAGCTTTGTGGAGGTACCTTTACTATCGTGTGGCTTTATCATGGTGTATGGGCTTCCAGACGGCTTTGTCGTGGCTTCCATTTCCATGCTAAACATCAGGCCAGTGATCCGAAACACAGGCTGGGTGATTCTCTGCAGGCATCCTGCCAAGCGTTTTGCAGGAGAGGAACCCGACACACAGCTATTATTTAAGGCCAATTTATCTTGAGAATCAATGGGCCTTTAAAAATTCACCAGCTTACATATCCTTTTCAGCAATGGGGGTTAACTGTTTTGTGCTCTGATTCTGTGGGCTTTTGAGGGAATCTTGCTTTTTAGCATATGATGACATATCCATTGGTAAAAGGAAAGTAACGGCCTTGATTTTTCCCCTAGAGAAAAATGAGAAAGCATTATGAGGATTACAAATGTATAAAATGTGCAAAGAAAGTGAAAAGATACCAAACAAACAAAACCCAAACACAACAGCAAGAAGGTGGTAAATGTTTTCGGCACTTACATGCTGCATGGAGGCAGAATTTCATGCTGCTCACACGGTCTTCCCAAGGGATCGAGCACAGTGTTGTCTGCCTATCTGTTCATCTGCTGGAAGCATCCGTCTTTTACCTTTGAGCCTCACATCTCTCCATCAGTGCCCAACCAGTATGTACAAAGCTACCTGCATACAGACGCCTCAGAGTGCAGGAGCACCAAGATGGACCCAGAAGGTCTTTCAGTGGCCTTATAGAATCAACTAGCTTGGATTCTATAATTCTACAATAAAGCCACTGAAGATGTTTATATACATTAGTACCTACATACAGCAAAAGGCTTTCAAGCAGTGAGAGACCACATGGTAAATTACATCAGCTGTGAAAGCATGCTCCTTTATGTGTCCCAAACCTCCTTGGTTTGGCAAGTTAATGGCTTGAGTTTTGCAGAACTTTGTTTTTCATTCTGACTGCCCTCTGTGATTGCTGTCAGCTCACACGGGCCCTCAAGGAGCGTGAGAAAGGAAAATCGTGAAACTATTTATTGATGCTTACTGGGAGGTGTTCTGCAGGGCAGAGGACCTCCAAGGTATCCACCCTTTTATCACCTGCCGATTAGACCTGTTCCACTGGAAGATGAAACCATCAAGCCTGAACACCCCAATAGTTTGTATCAAAGATGCCTTGTACCTTTTGTAATTTTACTAAGATAGCCCTGAAAACTATTCTCAGCCTCTCTTATTCCACGCAATGTATTCAGATATTTAAACTCTCTGTTTGTTTTTTTTTTTTTAATTTACCAAAGAAGTGGGAATTGCATGGTATAAATAATTCTTTGGCATGAATGAAAATGCAGTAGACATGCAAATCAGTGATGATTTGTTAGCAGTGCTGTTATTTTATTACTTAGATGCAACTGCACTCTAAATAAATCCAAGACGATACTTCTACAGAGTTAATTTAAAAGCAAAAATATTCAGCTTTATATATAAGATGATAGCTTTGGAGCCGAATGTGAGTAAGCTGCAATAAACAAGGAATATGAAAAACTGATACGCACCAGCATGCTGGGAAGTAAAAATGTCATTACTAAAAAAATAGGTGTAATTAGCTCGCTGAACTCATTGCCACAAATTATCTTACTAGTTAAAAGCTTAATAAGATCGATGTCTGTGTTTGACCTTTGCATATATAATAGAAACATTCACCATTATGAGCACAAAACATATTGAACTCTCTTTGATACAAGAAACACAAAGCTTCATGCTTCAGGGTATCATCCAGTATGCTGACAGGGTTAGGTAAGAAGCTCTTTCCATAGCCATTCCTTCTCCTAAAGCAGCCAATACTGAGTGGTCATGAGTCATGGTACCACACTCACTACTGTTCAGAGCTAACAAGGCAGCTTTAAAGATAGTGATGAAATAATCAGCACCATTCCTGTTGCCACTGGGTAACCAGTGCTTTTAAACCTATAGGTCCCAAGGCATTAGTTGTAATAGATCCATTTTGTTATTTTGAAAGCTCTTTCCCCTAATGAGAAAGCAGCAGCATTTACTGTTGCTGTCCCTGCTCCTGCATGCTGACCCTGTGTTTCCTGACACATGCTTTCCAGGTGAGCTGGCTTCAGGGCAAACCTCTCAGAAGCGTTTATGTGCACTGGGAGTCTCAAGTTTCCCTGAGCCCAGTGGAGCATATGCTGAAATCCAGAGTTACAGGGTCACGGTGCTTTTGAAAACGATATGAGTTCCTGCCAGGGACTCAGTTTAGGTGTTTAAATGCTGTAACACTTCTCCCCCCTCAAAACAAGAAAACCTAGGTGACTGTGAAAACTTGACCTCATTGTCCCATCTCAGCAAGGAGCTGGGCTCCTAATTGGGAGTGAGACAGGCTGTGCACTGGTCTGCTCTGAGGACACATTGCTGTGTGAGGGTGCTACAGAATAAAGCCTGACATGATGTGCCATGTGGATGGGTACGTCAAGTGCAGGAAGCACAACCTGCCACAGCCACTCAGCCCCAAGGAGAGGCCACTGGAGCCCTGCCCTGGGGCATGCATGGGGCAGGCAGACCCATGGGCTTTTCCCTGTTCAAACACACACCTTTGTGTTGGATCCTTTTTCTTCTGAGCACATCATGACTAGCACTAAACCCAGCAATCGATGCAGATCCCAGGGTGTGTCTATCAGCACCTGGAAGCAACCGGGACTATCATGTGTCACAGTCTCATTATTAGTGCTCCTGCCTTTGATTGTTGCCCTGTGCTGGAAAGCTTCTCATCAGTGAGCAGAGACACTCAGGGCTCGTCCAGCAGCCATTTCACTTAATTTAGAAGCTGTCCTGAGAATATATATCTCAAGGCTGAATGCATTAACTAGTAATGCTTCAATTACAGTGGAAATATGATATGGTACACCTAAACCCATGAGCCACATTAATCACACTTTCAAAAGCGTAGTTCAGAGTTCCTTGATATGTCCACACTTTTTGTTCGAAGTTTAAAAATCCCTTTCAAGCTTAGCTTGTCAGAACAACACATCAATCTGCAAAGCTCTTCCTGGCTTTAATAGAGAGAAGGTTTCAGACCCCTTCTGTCCCCCCTCAGCCTCTCTAGTAAATTTACACTGCTAAACCTGGCAATCTTCATGCATTGCAAAGAAAAGCAGGACAACTTACCCAAAAGACATCTCCCATCTGCCCCATGCCCATATACATTTGAACAAAGATTTAACTGACAACAAACTAAACCCCAAAGCAACATCCATAGATGTTATTAGGTGGAACCTGCAACTAGCCCAGGCAAACTGAACCTACCTGCACTTATAGACGTGCTCCTGACACAGGTTCATTTTGCTGGAATGACTGCAGGAGAGACAGTTTGCTGCTGTCTTTTCAAGACCTTTCTCCTCTCCCCTGGAGAGCTGTGCTGCAGCAGGAGGGGCAGGTGGCACACTTGAGAGCCCACTGCTTGGAGGTGTCTTGCAGACCCAGTGAGACCTCGTGCTGGCAGGAGCAGGTGCTGGTGGCGCAGTGAAGTAGCGCCGCACGGTCATGGTGGTATCTGAGTAGCAGAGACAAAAACAGAGTTAGGAATAATAATGGAAATTCAGATATCCTCAATGTATTTTTAATCACTTTCTTTCAGCTCAAATAAGTTTTTGTATGTGGGGAAGCTGACAGGCAGAAGAGGTCAAGCAGCCCCTTTGGATCCCACCCTTGCCCCTAAAAGTCATCTGGAGAGAAAAAGCCACGAGTTTGGAAGGCACTGCACATCTTTCATGTGTGATGGAAGACCAGTCAACTGTTCCCAAGCTGAGACATCCATAGCCACCAGCAGCCCCAGTTTAAGAGGCCCAGGGTTAGTAACCTGAGGACTGGACTCAGTGGGTTTGTCAGTGGGCATTGCAGCACTCATCTACCTGTACTGTTCAGCCTCTCATCTCATTCATTTTCATGGACTTGTCTCTGACAAAATTTGTGGGAGCTTTTCTCCATGGTCTGGACCTCTCTAGGAGGATGGTTCAGGGCTGAGGCTAGGTCACCCTCTAGACCTATGGAGCGCATGGACTGTAACAGCAGCTGGAACTCATAACACACACCACACTAATGCCAAGGAGTTGTGTTAGCTTTTCCACTGGACTGGACAAGACAGACACCAGACAAGGAGGCAACTGCCTGACGCTGCCAATAACCACATCCAATTCTAGATAACTACTTCTCACACCAAACAACATTTTGTTCCAATTCCTGCTTCATTAAATCCTCCCAAGTCCCAGACAGCCTTCTGTAACTGAGGAATACTTCCATTTTTTCCCTCTGATAAAACTGTGAAGAGAGTGTATTCCTGTATATTGGCTCTCCTTCAGCCAAAACCGACTGCATTATCTGCAAAAACAAACTGCACATCTAGCATGATGTATGCCATCGGTGCCTGTTGCTGTTTGTCGAGTTTTTATCATCTTTTGCCAAAGCAAGAAGGGTTACAGCATGATTACAACTGCTGATTCTTTTCTGTCTGAACAGACAGTGGACAGGCATAGGAAAGATAGTCCATGCCCATGAAAACTCAAAGCAGGAAGTCAAATTCTGCTTAACAAAGACAAACTGAATTCCTTTAGTTGAACTCTGCTTGAGCAGCCGCAGAATACTCTGCTAAGCTCAGCTTGGGACATGCAGGTACCCCACTGAACAGGTCACAGAATGAGACACCCAATTAAAATGATTTTGAGTATGGGCACTGAGCAAGTCCTGGGCTCTTCCATCAAGTTAACTAGACATACAGCTAGTGGCTGTGTCCCATTCCCTGCAGACACGTAACGGCTGGGCTGGGACATACTGCACAGGCAGCACATGTGTGCGCTGTGGACAGCCCTGGCTTTTCAGTACCTCTCTGCTCCTTTGGTGCTGGAGCAGGACCAGCCACGACGCTTCCATGCAGGGATGCTGGAGAGCCACCTGGTCCTTCCCCATCATCATCGGTGAGACTCCTCACGTTGCTGCTCCCACCTCCTCCTGCTGCCTCTCTCTCCAGTGGCACAGCTCTCTGCCCACAGACCCGCAGCTCTCCCCTCAGGGCCCTGTTTTCCCTCTCCAGCTTGTTGATTTGGGAACGCATCTTGCAGATGACCTGCAGGAGGTGCGCATTTCCCTCCATGGTCCCACACTACACACAGCAAGGCTTCCCACAGAGAAGCTCCTAAGCTAGAGGCAGGTGAATCCTGCCCTTAAAAGCCTTCGGACAATGAGTCCCTCCCTGCATGCAGGGCTCCAGCCAGCTCCCACCACCAGGAGGGCTGCACTGAGTTGTCAAGTTACTAAGAGAGGGCCCATGATTTATTCATTCAGAGTCTCATTTTTCAGAGCAGGGCTGGCTCTTACACACTGCACAAATCACTGTCAACACAATATCACTGCTTCACCCTGGCCCCTTGTTTACCTCCAGCTCTGGTTTTCTCTGAAAGGACCAAGGAGGACAGAACCCATTCCTTTGGCTTACCTGTAAAGGTCAGCGATCACCTCTGTGGCACAGAGGGAGCGGTTGCCCTTTGTCGGGCAGCAATTCATCTCTCCCTTAACACTGGGTGTACCACTCATTTTCAGTCTGCTCATCTGGAAGAGAATTAGCAATTTCTCAAAGGAAAACTATGTTTCCAGATGAAAGCTGATATGGTGCAAGAGCTCTGCTACTAATGAAGTAAGCCAACAGCTCCCGTGGACAAGCAGGTAAAATAAAGCTGTCCTGAAAGGCTACAGCAGAGCCCACTGCTCCTTCCCTAATGCCTGGAGAGGCTTGCTGGAATGGCATGCCTGCACTCCATTGTGTAAGGAGAGACAGATCAGGCATGAATCTTGCATTAGAAAGGGAAACACAATCCTCTGTGCTGCTTTCGTCTCCTAGCCCTAAAGCAAGCTGGCAGTAAAATGCAAACCTCTATGGAACTTCATAGGCTCATAGAATGGGTAGGGTTGGAAAGGACGTTAAGATCATCTAGTTCCAACCACCCCGCCATCCTTCCCACTCCCTTCCCAACTTCAAAATCCCAAACTGAGAATGCCAGAAAACAGCAGGAAAATAATTTTAATAGGTCTTTTGCTTTGAGACCATTTGCTCTCCTGTAGCTGAAGAGTGACTCAGGAATGCCTGGGAAAAAGACGACCTTTTGCTGTGCACTTTGCTGCTGCAAGCTGGGGGAAGAAGGGAAGTTGGTGTGAGATGCTTGGAAGGAGAGATGACTCAGGTTTGTTTTTTCCAGAGGGTGTCAGAGGTGGGTTAGATGTGAGGAAACAATCGGGTCTGCAAGGAGGTGCTGCCGCCCAGCAGCTGTTACAAAGTTGGGCAGAAATTGCTGGAATTGAGAGAAAAACAGGGATGCATAGGCAAGGGGGCTTTGCCCTCATGCATGCTCCTGTGTGGATGGTGCTGCCTTCTCAGGAACAGCATCCTCAAAAGCTCTTCATAAAGGTGAAGTGGTTCTTTGTGCCGTGCTCACTCCCCCCTCTTACACAGAAACAACATGCCGTGCCTATCAAGGACAGGTAGGGATTCCTGTGAGACCTGCAGGAATACACAGCTGTGCTGATTTTTCCAGTGACAGAGGCACAAGGCAGGGGACCAGAAGCCATGGGAGTCACAGGTAGCCCTGCTGTCACCTCCCAGGAGCCTCTGAACAATTCAGGCCTTCATACAGAGAGGTGAAACGGATTTGAGTTTTCAGGCTGCAAAGAAAGCCCAGCATCCATCATCTCTTGTAAATCACAGTGAGGGGAAGAGCACAGCAGGTGCTGCTGTATTCCCCTGCAGGCTGCAGGGTTGGCAGCAATCTGGGCTTGATGTGCTGGCATTCATCTTGGCAAAGCTCCTGGCAGGTCCCGGCTGTCCTCCCTCCAGCCCATCCAGATTGCATCAACAAGAAGCATCAACTTAGCTGAATTTCCCCTTCCACTCCAGAGATGCATGTTGCTGAGGGTATAACAACATACAAATGGGAAGGATTGGGCACTCCTGCTCTGGAGTGAACCAAGGACTGCAAACATAGCAGCAACCCTGCAGAGTTGGTTTCAGATTTTTGCTTCTGATTCTCCAACAAGTGGATCAGGTATTGGAGCAGTGGCAGCACTCACATGTAATTACAATATTGCTGCTGATCCTGCAGCTGGCAGGTTCGGATGGGCAGTAGACATTTGCCAGCTCAGCAATTAGAGTACCCTGGCTGCAGCTGAAGACATCTGCTCCTCTGATCCTATGCCCACTGCTCCAGTGGAATCAGGCAGGAGCAGGCACAGACCTTGTGTTGTACCAGAGACTTCTGAGGAAATGACATTTATCTTGTAACCTCATACTGTTGCTCCTGGTGCGATTCCTGCCCAGGACTGATGGGCAGGGGGCAGACAAGTCAGGGGTTTTGGATGATGAAAACCTGACAAAGCTACATTCACCACCGGGCTGGTCAGCAAGTTCCCTGTAAGCAGACAGAGCTCCATGCACACAACCCTGTATCTGTAAATTCAGTATGGTCCAAGACATGTGCCAAGACAGACCCATGGTGCCACCAGCCTGGGGTAGGGCTGGGCAGCTCCCAGGTGCTGATGCTCTGTGTGTCACAAGTGGGAAACACAGTGGCCCTATGTTCAGTGCTCCTTCCTGCACATATTACCAACACCTATTGCTGTGCAGGTGTTGCTGTGAAACACTTCAACTTACAGTCATTTAAGAGAAAGGACAGAGATTCTCACACCCGAATGCTTCAGCATGTTGTGCTTGGTAGGACATGGACCTGGGTAAATTGTATTCCCCTTCAGTCACATCCAAACCTCTCCACAAGTAAAAATAACCCAAAAGAGAGGTGGAGTTTCTGGCAGCTGCTGGCTCAAGCAGCCCCACAGCAGCACCTGCATGTGACTGCTGGAGCATGTGCTGTGTCTCTGTGAGCTGTATGAACTGCATACCAAGTAGTGTTGCAACAGAGAACCAGTGAACAAAACACAGAATCCATGCGGAGCAGCTTCATCTGAAATCGGGAGGCGCTTAGCTCTTCATTCTGCCACTACCCGATATCCTGCAGCTCCCTGCCTGGCAAGATGACATGAGTTGCTCATGCATGTATTCAGCTGCTGCAGGGGGTCCCTGGGAAAGGGCTGAGTGGAGAAGGTACGTTGTGAAACCGTCCGTCAGCAGAAAATGGCACCTGCACTGCTCACGTGGCTGCTGAAACATTTTTCTAGCTGCTTCACCGGCCAAATCTGCTCTCCTGCTCCCTTGAACGTTAGAGAGATGAAACCCCCAAAGGACTCACTGCTACTCCAATCAAACAAAACCATTAGAGTGTTTTTTAGATCACAACATTTTGCCCTTGAAAACTAAGCGTGTGGATGCTTTCTATGACACACTGCAGTGGGAGATGTCATGCCTCCCAGGGGCACAGGAGCCCCTGTGCACAAAGACAGATGTGCTGCACATCCTCTCTGGAGCTAAACCCAACCTGCAGAGCACAAGTACCAGGCCCCAGCTTGCCACAGATATGCACACACAGAGTGCTGTAACGTCCACACCCTGCACTAGCACAGCAGGGGCTGCAACCCTGAGCTGAGCCCGCCACTTCCCACCAGATGTGCTGGTCAGAGTGGGGTTGGGCTTCACAGGGTTCATGAGGATATGGAAGCAGAGGATCAAGACTGAAAGACTCTTTCTATTGCTACTTAGCAATAAACAAACACCCATCCTTTGTGCCTGGCATTACACTCCTCCTAATCCATTGGCTTCCATCCTTGTGACACTCTGCCCTCTAATGCATCTCCTCTGCGGCACCTTCACTCCTACCTGCCATGAGGCACCACATCACACCAGTGCCCTGGCACATCGGTGACAGCACTGTGCAAGAACATCACTGTGCCCCGAGTCCTGGCTTGATTTCTGACTTTGACATATGTTTTATGCTTCATTGTGGAGCAATAGAGCCTGATTCTTTTCTGAATCTGTCTGTACAACTTAAAGGGATAAAAAGAATATTTCAGTGGATTTAAAAATGAGTAACACACACTTTTGATCATTCTGCTCCTGTACATCTGGAGGGGCTGAATAGATTTAATGCCAAAGTTTGATTCCAGGTTGGTATTCTCGTTGTTTAATTCTCAGTAGCTGCCCTATTTTAATCAAGAAGTAAATTTTTATTTTTCAACATTTTCCATTTTTGTATCTCCCCTTACACTCTTCTCAACATTTAGACCTTTAGACAGGTAAATTATCCCTATGCTTTACTTGGGCAGTCCTATGCTTCAGGCTTAGCAGAAGGTTTGAGATTGATGCTCTACTCAAATGCATTTTCTTCCAAGCACTTGAACAGCAGCTTGGATGTAGTAGGACGTGCAACACGGTCTACAAGGCCCGTGCTCGCTTGAGCCTGGCATGGGATATCAGTGTCCCAGAGGTGCTGCTCTGCCAGGCCAGCTTGCATCTTGCTTTGAAAGAATTTCATCTGCAAACAGCCATGCAAAGAAATGCATCCTGCTTGTAATGGGTATGACAGAGAGGATTTTGCAGCACAAATAAAAAATGTTCTAATAACCGGACAAAAGAGCACAGCCTCTGAAGTTTGCTGATTTCTTGTATTAAACATGTTCAATACCATTTCCTAACATGCCCTGGCCATGCAGTCCTGAGGAAAAGTGCTGTTCAGTCCCATCTCCCCAGCCTGCGTGCCCACACCTGAAAGATACATCCCCATAAGGCCATCGCTCCTTCTTTAGGCCAGCTTGGGCTCCTCACCAGAGCTGAGCTTCCACAGAGAGGACAGGTACCAATCTCTGCAGCCTCAGGCCATGACTGCAGCAATCAGCTAACTAGTCACCAGCTGAATGCATTGTGGGGCTGTTTGGAGTGCCCCCAGTTTTAGCTCCCCCTCCTCTCATCAGACCGTGAACAGCAACTGGTGCGTGTCACTTCTGCGCAAAGCTGTTTGAGTGAGTGAGCAGCAGCTTCCCACCAGAATGCAGATGACCCTGTGGGTTGGCAGGGTGAGCTGGGAACGCGATGGCAAGTCTGCACCAGTGCTCGCCCCTTGACACCGAAGAGGGGAGAAGTGCAGCAGCAAACCAAGTGGGTCACACATGGGGACACAGGCAGGGCCAGCAGTGTCTGCAGGGGAAGGGGAGATCAGACCCCATGGAAATGTTCACCAGCCTCACGTGTAGCTGGGTGTGAGGGAGTATAAAGCCGGCTGCTTTTTAAGCTTGGATGAAATCTTGCCTTACACTCATGATTAATCAAACGCTCCCTTTTAACCACACCAGAGCGGTGACTTCTGCTTACACTGGGTGCAGAGACAGTTGTGGGGACAGAGCTCCACAACCTCCCAGAAAGAAAAGATGGCAAAAATCAGTTAATGTTTAAAGCATTCTCAGGTTTCATAATCTAATTAGGTAACGCTGGTACAAAGAAAGCCATTTGATCAGTCTGTTTAACTCTACTGTTTAACTTGTTAGCATCCGTTAAGCATCCTTTTCCTTTTGTAAGCACCATTTACCTGATTGTGCCTTAACCCTGCACACATACACAGAAAATTCCACACAAGTCTTACTAAAAGAAACCCACATGAGCACCCTGCTCACTTCAGTGGCTGAGGGAGCCGGATACCTGTGCAGCATACTGAACCTCTAGTGGTGTGCACCGCCAAACCATCTTATTACAGCTGTTTTGATTTTGAGTATTTGAGGTTTCTGAAAGGGTCTGAATTCCAGCAGGGGATGCTCAACACTTTCAAAAACCCAGGCTTAACCTGAGCACAGGAAATAGAAACGCTGAGATTCATGACTTGCACCTGAAAACCTTGGCTATGGTTTTGGACTGGGCTGGCAGTGAAGCAAAGCTATAGAAACATCCCAGACTTTTCAGAGAGCACTTTGGGCCTCCA